ACCAGAGGGTAACAGCAACATTATTGGGACTTAAACACAAAGATTTGTCAACTGGCCAGGAAAGTTGCAGTTTTTTTCAGGCACTAGTTTTCAGAAGCTGCTTTTTTTGTCTACGTGGTTTCAGCCCCCAGCCACCGTACTTCCATTTCCAGTTCAAAGAGATGCTTGTTTTCTGTTTTTGCTTTTAACATGGATTGCCTTTGAATATGTACTTAGAATATATTTTCTGTCATTTTATCTGTTTGGCACAAAGAGAGGATTTCTCTTAAATTCACTCAATCCTTTTATTGGGGAAGTGATCCTATGAAATTTGTCTACTTGCAAACTTTTTTAACAGAAAAGAGATTATGCTATATTCACTGAACCACACGCCACTTTTCTTCACAAGACACATACATCTTTGGAGGCATTTTAATAAAAGCACATGAAAATATGCCCCCACTTAAATAATTTGACTGCATATTACCTATTACATTCTATGGCTATATCATAATTATTGAAACAGTCCTGATGGACTGACACCTTGTTCCTATTACAAACAATGGAAAAGAAACAGTGGATTGGAAAGTACTGCATAAACGTGCCTGCAAACTTCTGTGAGTGCATCTATTCCATTTCAACCAAATGCCAGTTATTATATGTGAGAGTGCTCTTTAGGTTTTTGGCTTGGTTGACAGCAAAGAGCCAGTTCAAAAATGTCAATATGAAGAGGTAGGTGTGGACCCTAAGAAAGGAAATACCTGGTAAGAAGGACTCCTGGTGTCTAACTGGGATCAAATAATTAAAAAACAAACAAACAGAGTCTAGCAGCCTGTTTCTAAACAGGTGCCTCTCACATTCTGCTTCAGGGAGAAGCCTTCACCAACCTTCCTGTGCCCCCACGGAACTGTTTGCCTGCACTGTGTTCCTGCCATCTGAGCCAGCCCTTATGAAGCAGTTCTTGGAATTATATTTCGACCAATAGCACTGAGGTTTTTCCTATCCAGTCATCACAGCTGTGCAGCTAGAGCCTCATGTTCACCAACCAATCAGGGGGGTTCTATTCTGACTGATGAGGACAGTGCCTTTAGGACCAATCAAACTGTGAGGACTTGGAGCTCTTATTTGCATGAGGACAGACCAATCAGAGACCAGGGGCAGGGACTTTTCTGTATATAAGTCAGCTCCCCTGTGGCTCAGGGAGCGTACTTTCCTTTTCCATGGAGAGGTTTGCGCTGAAATGCCAAAGCAGTCTTTCCAGAGCAGAGTAAACACTGTAGAGCCACCTCACAGTCCTGTTGCTTCATAATTGAGCTGTTTGCATTGAATAAAGTTTCCTTCTTCACCACACCTCAAATTAGAGATTCCTGTTGGCATTGAATTGGGGCCAACAACCAAGGAAACTGAGCCACTCCTTTCTTTCCACACACACTTATTCTCTCATCCAAGAAGTTAATAAACAATCAGCAAGATGAACCATTAAGCAGCAATGGAACGAAGTGGTACCTTAGTCCCAGGATTTGGTCAGTCTTTTTTGGTCCTTTGCCACTGTGTGCTCCCAACTGCTGCATCAGAGCAAAATTTTGCTCCTGAATATTTTTTATCAAAGTGGTGAAGGGAGTCATGGTGACTTCATGACATACATCATGACATCATGAAATGGTCCAGTATACTCAGGAGAGACTCAGGGAGACTAATGCTGTTGTTTTCCAGTGTTTGGTGGCAGGCAGGAATAAGCCATGCTGGCTTGTCTTCTCTTTGAGTGTGGCAGCTTAATGGACTTGTAAATGTATTTACAGGTTTAAAGTTACATTTTTCATACAAAATGCTCCTTTTCCTCTGTCCAGCCTATCACAGCCAATAATTCAAGGTGATAGAATACATCGCATCACCCTGAATTTACAGATCAGATCACCCTGCATTTGTAAATTACACTTATCATGATATCCCTAGGATAAATTCCTAGCAATGTAATTTCTAAATAAAAGTCATTTTGGATAGTTAGTGCCAAATTGTCCTCCTGAAAAAGAGTGTGTTTTATGTGTTTTATTTCTGTAAATTTTAAATTGCACAATATAAAAACCCACATGAGTCTCCCTAAATTTTAACTTTCGAAGGAAATAAGACAGTTTCAAAACCAGCAGGTGGAGTGAATCATACACTCTGGTTAAAGTGCGGTTTTGTGGAGGAAGCATTGGAGCAGAAAAGGGACACAACTCTTCGTCCTCGACCTAAAACCACACACGGAAGCTCCTCAAATGAATCTCATTGACTCTTGGCTGCTGTTTAAACATTTACCATCGTTATAATTTAAAATTGTTTTTAAAACATTATCGAGTGACAAAGTCATCTATTCATTTATTCTACTGCTGAAAAACACACCTAAAAATCCAATAACTTTGGAAAAGATTTAGAAGGGGTAAAACAAAACAAATAAGGCCAAACAATCACTGTAATACATCATGCTGTTTTATGACAATTTACACTAGGAGATGTTTGAGGTGACACTAAGCAAACAAAATTATTTTTAACCCGGATATACAAGTAGGTTTGAAGAAGTCATCAGGCAAAGAAAACAGGAAAGTGCTGGTATCCTGACCACAAACTCCTTCCCAGTGACAATGCACTGCTAAGCAGGGATGATGGTGAGTTTCTGCATTGCAAGAATGTAACTCCCTTTTTATATTTATTCACATAAGAATTATTGAATTATGCATATGTTGAGTGATACAAAATCTTCATAAGCATAAATTTCAACAGAGAAGCCAGAGGGATTGTGAGCTGAACTCACAGTTAGGCAAGGTGACAATTGCTGGAAGAAAAAAATCTACACTTTTCCTTCCTCACTAAAAACGATCCCTAAGATGTGATTGTACATTACATTACTGGATTCCAGGTCTAAGAATTCTCCCATATGCCCCTTTCCTTCTATGGAGATAGAAGCCAAAATTCAAAAGAGTGTCAGAATTCATTTTCACGGGAAAGATACAGATGGTGGCATTTGTCCTGTCCATATGTGATCAAAGGGGGTCGCCAAAAATCTGTGACACGCTGAGTCCCAGGCTGTGGTTGGACAAATGTAGTTTCTCTTCTGAGAAAGACTTCTGATGACTTCCCCGATTGCTCCTACTTGGGGAGATAAAATGGAGAAGAAGCTGATGAGAAATTAACACCTCAGAAATTAATTAAAAAGTCTAGCATGCCTGGAGCTGACAAGCTGGACTTCCTATAAGAGCTAAATCTGAACAAAGAGGTCCTACTATCTGACTCTGCAGCTCCCTCTGCCATAGTAAATGGTCTTCTTTTTTAATTTAATCTTTTCACAAACATTTGCAGTGTGTTCACTGTGTGCCAGATGGCATTCTAAGCACTTAACATCTATGACCTCATTTAATTCTCATGATGAGATAGATACTATTCTTATCCCCATTTTACAAATGAGAAACTGAGGCACAGAGATTTTAAGTGACTTTTGTAAGGTCACACAGCCTGGAAGTGGTGGATTTGGGGTTTGAACCCAGGAACTTTGGCTCCATTTAAACGGATCACTTAAATGCCAGAGAGGATTAATGAAGATTTTAAGGCTGAAGTGTGTCTTTTAGAATGTAAGGTGCTGTTCAAAGATAAGGGATTATAATTATCTTCAAGGTCATTTATATAGTTGACTCTTGATCATTTGGAATAAATAAAAGGGAATATTGACATGGTTCAGAGTAGAACAAAATGTTCTGTGTACATTATTTTGATCCTCAACCAATCACACATTTCAGTGATGAGTGAATCGAGGCTCAGAGAGGGTTAGCTACTTGCCCAGCATCTACCAGAAAGAGTCGAGATTCAAATTGAGATCTGGTGACTCCCAGAATCCATGCTATGAATTCTACTAGCCGACATGTTTTTGGTGACCACATGTGTTGGGATAGTTTATTTACACAGTTCAGGTGGACATATCCTTTGACCACAGGTGATTTTGGTCAAGTGGTGACCAGTGGCATATACTGTAAAAACAGGGTAATGTTTAGACACAATCAGTAGCCACTAAACAGAATTGTCCTCAGTGTAAAGCTGCATGTCCTTTGAACAGCTGGTCCCAAAAGTTGTTGATCTGAAGTGACAAACAACTCTGGTGACAAACAAGGAAAGTTGTCAACTTTGAGAGGGAAATAGACCTAAGTTCAAATTCCTCTAACCAGTTGAATAGCTTTGAGCAAACCATTTGAGCTTTTCCAGCTTAAGTTTTCTCATCCTTAAACACAAAATTTAGACACTCAACAAATTAAGTGCACAATTTCCATGAGCCAGACATTGCTCTAGGCAAAAGGATATAGTGGTAAAACAATGAAACTTACAGAGGGTGGAGACTGACCTAAAGCAAACAGTTTGATGTTTTAATATAAATATCAACGAGAAAAATTATGCACAGAATTAAAATAGAATATAGTGATAGACAGTGAGTGAGACTATCATAGAACAAGTGGTTAGAGAAAATCTTTCTGAGGAGGTGACATTTCAGCTAATGTGTGAAGATCAACGAGACGACTTGGCAAGATGAGAGGAAAGGGCTGGAGGAAACAGCTGTTACAAAGGCCCCGAGACAGAGATAAGCCTGGGAACTTTGAGGAACTGAAAATTTGCCACCATAACTGATTGGGAGTGTTGAGTCAGATTTAAGTGATGGTAAAGAAGTTCAATTTGATTCTAAATGTGATGAAAAGCCAAAGTTTTAAGTAGGTAAGTAAAGTAACTTGATTTGCATATTTAACTGCCACTCTTGGTGCTTTGTAGAGAATAGGAAAGGGAAGGAAAGGAGGGAGAGAAGGAGAGAAGGAGAAAGGGAAGAGAGAGAGAAAGAATAGCTAGCTCTTTCAGTTTGGGTTTCAAAAACCAGAAACTTCACCTGCACAATGCAGGAACCTAATGCAATTTCTCTTTTCATTCAGAGCAAGGAACCAGGAAGTTCCTGGTAGCATGAGAGGCTGGACGCAGACAAGTACAAGGCATTGCAGAGAAGCTGGTCTTACCACTTTGGTGTGGATAGTAGAAGGAGAGACCTCAGTACTTTCAATTTCAACCTCTTTCTGCATCCTACTAAACCATTTCTTGTATTCCATTCGCACCTGGAAGTTTGAGAAATGTAGAGACTTGTGTTACATCCAGAGCTTGGTTCAGAAGAAAGAACCCTAAAATAAGAGACTACAGATATAAATGCCATGCCCTGCTCTCTACAGCTTTATATTTGTTTGTTTGTACTCTGTATAAGGCAATAATGATAATGATGGTGAAGATGATGATGTCGATGACGGTGATGGTGGTGACAATGATAATGAGGGTAATGATGAAAATGAGGAAGGTGGTGATGATGATGAAGGTGGTGATGATGACAATGGTGGTGATAATGAAAGTGATTATGGTCATGGTGGATAATATTGATAGCAAGGGTGATGATGGTGGTGGTGGTGATGATAATGGTAGTGATGATAGTGATGCTGGAGATGATGATGATGGTGATGATGGTGAAGATGATGATGATGGCAACGACAATAAAGGCGATGATGGTGGTGGTGGTGACTATGATGATGAAGTTCACCATTTATTAAAAACTAGCTATGTTCGACACATTTTGTATATATCATTTAATCCCTGCATAAATCCAATCAGGAATCTTATGCCCCCCCCATTAGAGATAAAGAAATTGAGGCTCTTAGAGGTATATTGACTTGTCTAAGTTAACACAGCCAGCATTCAAAATCTTGTCATTCTAACTCCAGAGCCTTGACACTAAACCACCCACTGAATCCCATGAATTGCCTTCCTTTAACCTCCTTAATATGTTTTTTAAGAGACATTTGAATATTTAATACTCAACATTAATTCACCAAGAAACTTAAGTTGTATTTTACTTCTTCTGTTTGAGAGGAGTACCAAGCATTAAGGAGGCACTAACAGACAAAAGAGAAATTAATGAAGTGTTAAGATGGTCTTTTGCCATTTGCATTTTAATTGCTGGTAGTTCTACTCACTAGCAAAATTAAAAACTGTTCCCAATTTTGTATAAAGAGTAAGTTGTAATAATGACCTTCACTGAGAACTTCATGGGTGCCAAGGGCTGCACTAGAAGATTTATATTGAATTATCTCATTTAATTCTCAACCCTGTGAGGTAAGTACTGCCACATCTTTGGATGAGAAAATTGAGGCTAAGAGAGGGAAGCAGTCTGCCCAAGGTCACACAGCAACCCACTCAGTGGAAAAACTAAGATTAGTGCTGAAGCCTCTCTGAGTTTGTGGTAGGTTTTGCTAAATATTCCAATACCCCTCCATGTAGTGCACCTCACTACAGAAGGATTATTCATCCTCTCTTTGGTGAATTCAGGTTCGGCCATTTGACTTGCTTTGGCCAATGAAAATGAGCTAAGCTACACTGTGCCATGATCACCTTTCCCTTTGCCACAAGAATACCAATGTTCTATGGAAGGGCTGCCCCTTCAGCCTACATTTCAAAATGAAGACAATGTAACTTATGAGCAATAAATAAATCTTTATTATTGTAAGCCACTGAAATTAGAAGAAAAGTGGATATTTATTACTGCAAAAAAATCTACCTTACCCTGACATGCTCTGAACTGAATTGTGTCCCCCCACTCCAATAAAAAAAATGTATATATTAAATCTCTAACCCCCAACATAACTGTATTTGGAAATATGACCTTTGTGGAAGTAATAAGGTTAAGTGAGGTAATAAGGGTGGAGCACTAATTCAATAGATTTAGTGTCTTTATAAGAAGAAACATGTGAGGACACAGGAGGAAGAGAGCCCTCACCAGAAACCAATCACAAAAGCACCCTGGTCTCAGAATTCCAGCCTCCAGAATTGCAAGATAAACTTTTATTGTCTAAGCCACACAGCCTCTGTTACTTTGTTATGGCAACTCAAGCCAATGAATGCATGCTCTTAAGAGATATGATCAAATACTGAATAGTAGAATGCTAATAAAACCTAGACCACATGGCAAACCCAAGTGGCACCTAAATTTTCTTCCCAGAATCAGGGCAACTTCAAAATATAAAAGGTCAGAGAAGGATGAGAAATGAACAACCATTCAATAAGGTTTGGAGACAAATGATTAGTTTTACCTGGCGATTAAGGAGACAGTGTACCACAAAGAGCAAAACACCCTGCAGGACATTGATGATGGTGAACATATAGGCAATGATTAATCCAATTGTCTTCCCAACTTCATTAACCATAAAAAATCCAAGTCCCCAAGAACAGCCCAGGGTAAACAGCTGAGCAATGGCTTTAAATGTCATGACTCTGGAAAGGAAAAAGAAGTAATGCTACCATTTATCAGGGACCCCCTGCTTATTAAGCACTGTGCTCAATGCTTTGCACACATCACATAGTCAAAACTTGATAAAAACCTCATGTTTTTATGTGGCTTCCACAAAGTTATGTGGCCTGAGGATGGGGCAGAATCCATTTTTTCAATCACTGCCTCTGAGAATAACACTTTATCCTACTCTTGGAAATGATTTACCTGTAAAGTATTTTTTATGGACTTATTAAAAAATCTTGGGGAAGTTCCTTCTAGAAATTTGTATTGAAAAATGTGGTTGATGATATCATGGCTTCAGAACATAACAGTGTTGAATTTCTTCACGCAAAAACTGTGTCTGGAGTGAGGTTGTTGATGGCCACAGGCTGGGAGAGCTAATATGTGTGAATGTATGTGCATGTGCATCTGTGTGTGTGTGTTTGCATGTGACGAGGTATGGAAAAACACCACAGAGGTGTTTGATTCTGACACTCCAGAATCAAAGAAACTGAGGCTAAAAGATGTTAGGTTGGTCTCATACACAGATGAGATCAAAGCCAGGGTTTGAAGTTGGACAAAAATTCCTTTTTGTCCACACGACTCACTAATGCAAGGTTTTTACCTTTCTTTAGTAAGATGAGCAGTTTCTTCCCCTTATCAGTGGGGATATTAGCAGTGCCCACGCAGAGGTTGGAGGCATGAGCATTCAAAGAAACAATCTTCAAAACTGCCCAGCATCTATCAAGTGCTAGTTAATATTAATTGTCATCATTATTATTTTTAATAATTTAGATTAGCACTAGTGAGAATTGAGTTTCTACTACCAAGGAGAATGGAGTCCAGAAGTGCATGGACACTTAAGGGGCAAAAGGATAATGTTGATACTCTTGGAATTAATTTTATATAAAGCATATGCTATACAAAAGAGGCATCCAGTGACTATTTGTTGAATAAAAAGATGATGGAGTACATTAAATTACCTGAAAGTTATAGTTTTTACTCGTTCTATAAGTTGTCCCTCGTATTCTCTTTATCTAGTACTAGGAAATTTTATATATTTTCGTACGGGTTTTTCTTTCCCAGGTAGAATGGTCCTGTAGGAAAATCTGTGGATACCACTGATTTTAATACCATCTTACCTGGTGTCCTGAATGGTGGAAACTTCTTTGTTGAGGGAGGAAAGTTTACTTCTCAAAATCCACAGAATTTGGAAGTAGAACACCAAGTTTATCTGTGTAAAACAGCATGGGAAATTTACTTGGAATTTTATTCTGAAGCCATGCCATACAACCCAACTTGAGGTATACCTAAGAATCGTTTCCTCAAAGACACAGGATTCATAAATATGGTGTGGACATATGCTCTGGTCTAGGTATCACACAGTATATAACCTATGGCACTTGGTGTTTGATTAGGGTGACTATATCAAACCAGGACACCTTGAAAGTGAAAACATGCTATTAATATCTACACTGGGACAATGAATAGAAATGCAAAATACCTAGCCAAAGGGAAAACATGTCACTCTATGCAGAGTAGATACTTGCTAAATATTTGTTGAATAAATGAATGTCGAATTTTTAAAGGAATGTCCAGTAGAGGGTTATACTATATCGGATCAACCAATGAGCAAGGGAAATACACACGCAGCAGTACTTCCAATAAGAAGGGTTAATCACATTGGACTATATTTTCTTATCTTTATTTCATTTCCACTTTAATAGGTAAGAAACACTCTCTCTGTGCTTGGCCAACCCAGGGCAGGCACACCAATAAATACCCATCAATGGTCACCTACCAAGATAATGATGGCCACTGGACCCATAAAGCTCCAGATGAACCCTTTATCAAGACTGAGCCAGCAGCTGTTAAGAGAAAAAAAAGGATTAGCTGCTTGTTTCTTGCAAGACAAAGGACTTTTTAAAATTTATTTATTTTAATTAGTTTCAAATATACAGTACATTGGTTAGACATCTATATAGTTCATAAAACAATCCCTCCATTTGCTCCCTCCCTCCCCTGATCCTCCACCTAGCCAACGTATTAATGCTAATTTCATTCCCTATGCCATGCTCCTCATCCCTGTGACCATCCATCAGCTACTAATTTGTACTTTTTTAACCCTTCACCCCATTATCCAAGTCCCCAAACTCCCCGCCCCTCTGTCCATCACCAAACTGTCCACTATATTTGTGATTCTGTTTTTGATTAGTTTGGTTTTTTTATTCTCTAGACTCCTCATATACATGAAATCACACAGTGTTTATCTTTCTCTGTCTGACTTAAATACCTTCTAGGTCCATCAAAGCAATAACTATTTCCATCTCCTTCCTTTTAGTCTCTGTGTGTCTTTTAACCTGAAGTAAGTCTTTGATGTTTTTTTTTCTTTTTTTTTGAGATAAATATTAGCTTCATTATATTTTTTTAAATTAATTTATATATTTTTTCATGGTGACATTGGTTAATGAAACCCAAGTCCCTCCAACATTTTCTGTAATACTGGTTTGGTGGTGATAAATTCCTTTAGCTTATTTTTGTCTGGGAAGCTCTTTATCTGTCCTTCAACTCTAAATGATAGCTTTGCTGGATAAAGTATCCTTAGTTGTAGATCCTGGGTTTTCATCACGTTGAATATTTTGTGCCAAGTCCTTCTCAATATTCTTTCTGTGTATTTAACCTTTGGCATTTTAATTATGATGTGCCTTGGTGTGGGCCTCTTTGAATCCCTGATTTTTGGAATTCTATGAGCTTCCTAAGGTTGTATGTCCATTTCCTCCACCAGGTTAGGGAGGTTTTCCATCATTATTTCTCAAACAGCTGTTCAACATCTTGATTTTCTTCAGTTACGCCGATGAGACTGATATTTGGACCTTTAATAGTGTCCCATATGCTCCTTAAATTATTTATATAGTCTTGGCATCTTATCTCTTGCCATTCTGATTGTGTGTCCTTGGCTTTCTCATCCTCTAGATAGGGCATTTGATCCTTTTCTTTATTCACTTTGTTTATGCCATTGTTTATTCCATTTTATATACTTCTCAGCTCAGATAATGTGTTCTTCATTTCAGAATGGTTCCCTTTTATAATATCCATTTCCATTTTTATGATTTTTATCTCTTTGTTGAAGTTCTGACTGAATTTATCTACACTTCCCAAAGGTTCATTGAGCATCTTTATAACCAGTGTTTCGACCTCTGCATTGATAGATTGCTTGACTCCATTATTCCTAGATCTCTGGTCTGTTCTCTCATATAATTTCTGCTTGTCTTCCCATTTTTGCTGCCTTTCTATGTCTGTTTTATGTACTAAGCAAAGCTCCTAAGTCTCCCCATCTTATTAGTGTGGATATGTGAAGTAGGTGTGCAGTGGCACAGTCCTGAGAGGGGTTCAGCTGCAGGCCAAACAGCCCCAGCCTCTACCCCTCCGGGGCCACCACAGACTCTGTGCTTATAGTTTCTTCAAAAGGCCATACCAGAAACCAAGGCTAGCTGCCTCCATTGTGAGTCTAGGTGCTGCTCAGCAAGAAGCACCTAACTCTCTGAGGCTATACCTGGATGTGGCTTGGGTGGGGACGTGAGTTAGGGGAGGTAGGGTTTCAGGGAATCCTCTGGGCGGAGTGACCTTTGTTATCCAGTTTGATGACATCACGGCTATGGCAGCATTGTGTTCACACACTGGGACAGGGGAGGACTCAACAGGGAACAATGGATACCGCCAGCACTTCTGTACAGAGTAAGTCTCACCTCAGCCCTCACTCTGACAATGTCTCCCTATAAGTCCCAGGTGCCCCCTGCACTCAGCCGAATTGGAACTGGTGTTCAGAGGGAGCAGGTCCGTCACCGTGAAAATCCACTCTCAGACGTGGCCTTTTTAAGAGGCTTCTGCAGCTACCGCTGCCGCAGCCTCCATCTCTCTCAGCCGCTTGAGACTGGGCAGCCCCGTGTCCTCGCCCTGTCCAACCTTCTGCCATTGCAGGATGATTCCTTGTATTTCTCCCTGGTTGTATGGCTTGTTCATCTAGGTCCCAGGCAATTTGTCCTTGCTGCTGCTCCTTGTTTCTGTCACAACTTTGATTTGGTCGCCAGAGGGATGAACAGAGACTCTATCATCTATGCCATTTTTTTCCTCCAAACAAAGGACTTTTAATTCAGGCTCCTGTGGCAAGATCTGAGCAGTGTGAGGAACTGTTTAGTTCTGACCTAGGTTTTAGATAGAATCAGACATGGGTCCTTATCTGACACAAGATGTATGCTCTGAGACTCTGTTTTCCCAAGTGTAAAGAGGGGTTAACAGACGTATTGAAAAGGTTAAATGATGGCTTTGTCTATTTTCCAAGTCCTGAAGTCAGATAGGATCAATCATCTGACTTTATTCTTCTCCTTCAATATTGTGTTAGCTATTTCAGGTCTTTTGCCTCTTCATACAAACATTAGAATCACTTTGTCAATACCCAAAAAATAATTTTCTGGGATTTTAATTGTGAATGTGTTGAACCTATAGATCAAGTTGGGAAGAATTAACTTCTTAACAATATAGAGTCTTCCTATCCATGAACATGGACTATCTTCATTTATTTGAATCTTCTTTGATTTCTTTCATCAGTTTTCCTCATATATATCTTATAGGAAAGATTAAATGAGGTAATGTACACACAGTTTTTGGATACAGTTCCTGGCAAAGGGTTAAGTCTCAATAAATGTAAGTATCCTGATAATAATAATTACTATAATAAGAGAGTAAAAATAAGGCAGCAAAATGTGGCTATTAATAACACTGCCTTGAAAATTCTGACTTACTCTCTTTCTAGATGCAACCTTGAGAAAGATTATTAAATACATTAAGGCCCAGGAGTCCTATGCATAAGGTGATAAATATTGCCAACTTCATGGGAGGAGATGAAATACTGCATATAGAAATCACTATCTCTGATGCATCACAGGCCTTCAAGATTTTTTGCTATTGTTATTCTTTACATTTCGGAGATTAACCTCAACCTACTCAACTTACACTTTCAGAAAAAGGTCCCACAGATTCTTAATGTTGGGTCAAGGTCTAGAGAAGATACATATCATATATTCACCCGGGACACTGCTTCTATCATAAAAATACTCATCATGCTTACTGGGTATAGGTTCCATAATTTCTGTGTCCTACTATTGCAGACACAGCCACAATCAGAGCTGGGATCCCATAGCCTAAAGTGTACGTGAACCTCTTCTTGAATCTTCCTGTATTAGTATAGTTGGCCACCTTGAGGTTCCTGACAGTGAGAAAGAGGTATAGCCCTTCGAGGAACATCCAGGTGAAGGAGGCCAAGTAGAGGTAGTGCAACACCCCTGCGATGATGGAGCACAGCACCTGGAGGGAAGAGGAGAGTTAAGAATGTGGTGTCAGTGTCATCCGTACCTGATTATACCCTCAGCACTTATTATTTCCTGGATGATGACCTGGAATTTCATTTCCAACACCAATGATTTTTTTATCTGAGGCAACACATTTTCTGGAGGCTTTTACTGGCCATTGAAGTCTGCTTACACCATGAACAGGACAGGCCAGAAGTGCCACAGAATAAACACCAGGGGAGCAGCCCTCAAATCCATGATGGATGAGTGTTGGTAAATAAATACTCTGCTGCTCTTGCCTTTTGGATAGGCTAAGGTATCCAGATAGTTGGTAAAACATTATTCCTAAGTGTGTTTGTGAGGGTGTTTGTGGAAGAGATTAGCAACTAAATCGGTAGATGAATAAGGAAGATTGCCCTCACCAGTAAGGGTCAGCATCATCAAATCTATGAAGGGCCTGAAAGGAATGAAAACTTGGATAATAGAAGAATTTCCTCACTCTGCTGGAGCTGAGATATGTATCTTCTCTAGACCTTGGACATTGGCAGTCATGGTTCCAGTAAAATTTTATTTACAGAAAGAGGTAAGGGAATTTGGAGAAACATGGTGGAGTGAGAGACATCCCTAGATCTCTCCCCTTGAAACAACAATAAGCCTGAACATCTAAAACAAACAAACAACAAAACACCCAAACTGCACACCAGCATGTCTGAGTGTGGGATCTGCGCATAAGAGCTACCACAAGTCAGAACCCTGGGTTTCAGGCAGTGGACTGGGAGAAATAAAGAAGCTGCCTCTCGCAGCCTGAGTTCACTGTAGGGGGAGGGGGAGGGGAGAAGATAAAGCAAGTTCCCTGAACAGCCATGCCTGAGAGTGCTATGAGCTCCATGCAGCCAACAGCAGGGCCTAGTCATCAGAGCAGAAAGCAGGGAAGTGGGATGGCAGAAGAACAACAGTTGATTTTTACCTGCCGTGGTTGCAAAACCAGGATGAACCGCAGTCCCAAACTGCCAACCCAGAGGGCCCCTCCCCCCATACTATCCAAGACCAAACACCGTGGAAGCCCAGGGGAATCTGAGCAAACGCTACTGAAACTGTCGCTAACACTGACAGGAACTGAGACTGAGAGTAGTGAGCATATACAAACATCTATAAGGAAAAAAAGGCATTATTAAGGCTTTCTATAAGGCAAGGATCTGAGAAACTTAGACGCTACCTAATAGAATCCAAAAGAAAAGTGCCTTCTTTGCAACAGGCTAAAGAGAAACCTTTATATAATAAATTTTATTTCTAGAAAAAGAGTAGAATACACTTCCATTAATGCCCAGATGAAGAAATATTCCATTAAACACCATGAAAAACCAAGGTGAAAAATCAGAAACAGAAAAATCTCCAGAAAATAAGCTTGCAGACATAGAAATACATGACTTAAATGAAAGAATTCAGGATAGTACTTCTGAAAAAACTCAGTGACTTCCAAAATGAGTCATATCAACAATTTCAGGAATTGAGAAAACAACTAGATGAGCAGAGCAAGAAGATTGAAACCCTCAAAAAGAACCAAATAGAACTTCTGGAGTTGAAGGACACACTGCAAAAGTTGAAAAATGAAATAGCAAGCTTGGGAAATAGAGTCGACCAAATTGGGGGAAAGGATCAGCGATATTGAAGAAATCTAGAAATAAATCAGAAAGAAGAGAGAAACCAAAGAATAAAAAATAATGAAAGAGAAATATAAGAATTAGCAGATACCATCAGGAGATAAACATAAGAATAATAGGCATTCTCGAAAGTGAGGAAAAGGAGCAGGGACTAGAAAGAATTTTCAGACAAATAATTAATGAGAATTTCCCAAATCTAAGGAATGAGCTGGAGCTTGGAACGCAAGAAGTCAACAGAATACCCAATTATCTCAACCCAAAAAGGCCTTCACCAGCATTATCAAAAATCAATGACAAAGACAAAATTCTCAGGGTAGCCAGGGAGAAGAAAACGGTAGCTTATAAAAGAAAACCCAATACATTATCATCGGAATCCTCAGCACAAACCTTACAAGCCTGATAGGAGAGGAATCAAATATTGAAAATATTAAGTGAAAGGAACTACCATCCTAGAATAATGTATCTAGCTAGTCTCTCTCCTTTAGATATAAAGGAGAAATTAAGATTTTTCCAGACATACAAAATTTGAGGGAATTCTCCACCACGAGGCTTGCACTACAAGAAATACTGAAAGGCGATCAGCTTACCTAAAATAACATCAAAAATACATAATTAGGAGTAAGGTGACAATCAGGCAAATAGAAGCAGAGGAGTGCAACCCTTACTAAGAACAGGGCAAA